TTATAGTTGTTTTTTAAAGCTATAATTCATAACAGGCTTATCTGTGACTCTTCTTTCCTTATTAATGGTTATATATAAGATATTATGACCCGCCTAGCAGTAAACCGCAAAGCGTTTCTTGTGATCTATTTTTGTGTGCAGGACAGTTCAAAGACTTTCTTATGCATAAGGAAAACAGATGATAAGTATAAATAGGGCGAATATAAGACGGCACCTTAACAGTGTTGAGCACCAAAACATGCACGATAGCACGACAAAGCAAAGTCATTTCTACCCTATTACATAACTCCCCGAGTCCACATGATTAAATTGTTTTTCAGCAGGCTGCAAATATGAGTCGTCATGTCGAATCAATTCTCTTGTTGACCTGAAGCTTCCGGATCAACCCTCTCCACTCCTTTGACATGTTCCCTGTCCTGGAAGGTTGATGATGACAAGACAATGCCATTCAAAGCTTCAAATTTAGCTTCATCATCAATTAGTCCGGCCGGGTCAACTTCAGGGGCGAAGGTATGCTTACGGATTGGCGGGATCAGGCTTGTCACTTTATAATGTGGCGTCGGGATCCTCCGATTTTCCGCATCATAACCCGGCTGGTACCTAGTGAGATCCGTCTCATCAGCAATCAGGGTGGCCACTTGGCACATTTCCTTCACACAAGCGGCGAAGTCCTCCTGTTCAAATGAAGTGCCATCCTCCTTAAGGCTTGGATACCCAATGGCCATGTCGGTCGGGTCTAATTCCGGTAGCCAAGCTTTGGCCCGGCTTAAGGCAGCCACGGCTTCGGCTCTCGCACACGATCGCTTTAATTCATTGAATCGCTAGGGCAGCACCGAAAGCTTCTTTAGCACATCCACCAGGAGTGTGGGGATTTCGTTTGACCCATGGTATGGTAAGCATTGTCGATTACGCTTTGTGTACTATACTAACCCATGGTCTTCGTGAGAGTTCATTGTGGGGTTAGGTTGCAGTGTGCACGTTCAAGTGATGCATCATGAAGAGATCAAGTGCTTTAAGATTGTCGTCCATTGTGGTGACAATGGACTTGTGAAGATGTGCTGAAGAGTGGCTCACCCATAGTGGAGTATGGGGGAGCAAACTACTAGTCTTCACCGAGCCAACGCAATCAAGAAAGGTGGCCCAACTTGAGGAAGTCAAGATCGTCGACATCTAGCTCAAGTGGACTTTGTTCAAGGCAAAGTTTTGGCTTTGATAGGTTCTCTATTTTACCGGTCTCATGGTGGTAGTTTGGAGACCGGGTTATAGGATCGATTGTCGTACTATCAAGGGGGGCTCTCAAGTGAGTAGCTTGATCGTGTCGTTCGTAGAGAGCTCAAACCATTGCATGCTTCCATAATCTTTCTTGGTTCTTGTTTGGTTTTCTCCTTGTGAGATTTGGAGCTTATGGTCATCTTCTTGACAAGCTCGAGTTCATCGAAAATGGAGTTCACATGCTTCTTCTATTCGTTTTCGGTGTTGGAGGTTTTACCAGTCTTATTCAAGGAAGGGTTCTCACCTTTTTCTTATGGGCATTTTCTAATTTCCTTCTTATTGTTATTTCTATCAAGATTGTGTTAGCCCTTGTCGCTAGCTTTCCAACAAACTTGGTTTCGTTGAATTCAGAGTCCGTTTGCAGAAGTTGTGTCAGTTTTGGTGTCCTTAAAAAGGCTGCAGTGGTACTACCGCTTGGAGGGGATGTAATTTTTTACTACCGCTCTTGGGAGCGGTACTACCACGGCTACTTCCGCTCCGGACCAAAAACTCATCATAAGTCCAGCGATGGTAGGCACGGATGTATTTTTTTAGTACCACTCGCAAGCAGTAGTATTGCTACCCTTAGCGGTAGTACCGCTACCCCTAGCAGTAGTATCGTGAGGATGAGCAGTAGTACCGCTCCGACGGTTTTACCGGCCTTTTGCCTCCTCGCTGTTGTTTTTTAAAGGGCTTCCACCACCCTAGCGGTAGTACCGCTCCCATGAGCGGTAGTACCGCTCTTGCGGGCTGTGAGCATAACGGTTGGATTTTTTTCCCACCTATAAAAGGGGGTCTTCTTCCCCAGTGAACCCTATCCTTTGAGCTCGTGTTCTTCCCCCATTGTTGACCTTATTCGAGCTTGCTATCTCTCAATCCCTTCATGGATTCTTGCTAGTTTTGGGGGGGGGAGAGGAGATCTAGATCCACATTTCCACCAATCACTTTCTCCTCTATGTGAGGGGAACCCCTTGGATCTAGATCTTGGAGTTTTTGGTGTTCTCCTTCTTGTTCTTCCTCTAATTTTCTTCCCTAGCATTAGTTGCTTTGGTGGGATTTGGGAGAGAAGGACTTGGGCACTCCGTGTGCCCTTGCCATTGCATTTGGTGCATTGGTTTGACTTCTCCGCGGTGATACATGGAAGTTACAAGTTGAGAAGCTTATTACTCTTGGGTGCTTGGTACCCTTGAGCTTGTTCCTCCTGGGTGCTTGGGCGCCCTAAATGGTTGGTGGTGTTCAGAGCTCAATCATTGTGGTGTAAAGCTCCGGGCAAGCGTCGGGATCTCCAATTAGGTTGTGGAGATCGCCCCGAGCAATTTGACGGGTACCGGTGGCCGCCCTTAAGGGTTTCCAAAGTGTACGGGTTCGGTGAACGCCCCCAAGGGTTGCCATTTGTACGGGTTCGGTGACCGCCCTCAAGGGTCCCTTAGTAGAATCACGGCATCTTGCATTGTGCGAGGGTGTGAGGAGATTACGGTGGCCCTAGTGGCTTCTTGGGGAGCATTGTGCCTCCACACCACTCCAAACGGAGATTAGCATCCGCAAGGGTGTGAACTTTGGGATACATCGTCGTCTCCGCGTGCCTCGATTATCTCTTAGCCGAGCTCTTTACTTATGCACTTTACTTTGTGATAGTCATATTGTTTCTTGTCATATATCTTGCTATCACTTAGTTATTTATCTTGATTAGCATAAGTTGTTGGTGCACATAGGTGAGCCTAGTTATTGTAGGTTATGTGCTTGACAAATTAACCGCTAGGTTTATTCCGCATTTGTTCAAGCATAAACCATAATTATTTTAAAGCGCTTATTTAAACCCCCCCTCCTCTAGGCGACATCCTCGATTTTTCAACCGTGAGCCAATCCGACGTAGCACTCGGGGCTTGCAATATGCCCATTTCTAAATATGATATGCCATTCTAAACGAGTCCTAATCTCATACCATTATGTGGGACATGGTTCATAGTAACGTATTGAATTAGTAATTTGAGCCCTTAGGGATGCCCCACATCGATCCCATGGCGCCGAGAGTCTAGCCCGGCCATTAAAAGCCGATTTCGGTCATGCACACGGGGCTCTAGGGACAAGGTCCAAATCCACACATCAAGCAAAAGCAGGGAAAATCCTATGCATCGCTCATTGTAACGCACTATTGACCAATTGCATAGGCAAAAGCGAGCTAGGGTTAGCCCTATCACAGCTTCTTCAGGAAAAAATGATTTTTGGAACTTTCTAGAAGGTTCCTGTCTCAGTTTTTTCGTTTTACTTTTGCTTGTTGTTCACTTTACCCATATTCTTTTTACTTTTTTCTTCATTCGGGTTACTCTTTTCTTTCCTTTTTTCTTTCTTTTAAAGCGCGCTCACAAAATCCAAAAAAAATGTTCGATTAAAAAAACTTGTTAGCATTTCTATAGAAACATTTACAAAATAAAAGTGACTTTTAAAAAATGTTTAGAGTTTTTTTAATGTTCATGAAAGTTTTAAAAAAAATGTTTTAACTTTTTCAAAAAAAAATCCGAAGCTCACTCACCGTGCACCTCATAGAGACGGTTAATAGTTCAGGGTCCTCGGTGGCGTCCTGCATCTAGCTGGATTGAAGCCGTCACGCAATGCCGCATATCACCTAATGCTAAGAACCGGATACTCCTCAACTAGTGATTTCGTTTTAATACATAGCCTTAGCCTTCTCATTCTCAAAGAAAAAAAGAAGCTTCAGAAGACGTACATCCTTGCTGGGCTTCAGACCGGTGTCACTTGGGCCAGTGCAACACACGCAAAACAGAAGAACAAATGGAGAAGAAGTAGAAAAATAAAGAACGGGAGTAGGGAGGCATGGCAAGTTGGCAACCGACAGTCCGTCCAGTGCCAACGCTCGCTGCCGCTGCATATCCGTGCATGTAGTATTATTTCTTCTTGGTGCGACATTGCCGTCCGCCAGCGGTTCCCTTTTCCCATCATGCGGCGGGCACCCCGTCCAAATTATCACCCATTTAATTATCGACCGACGGATCGGCAAGACAGGGAAACGAGACCCACGAGCACAAATCTCAGCGATCCATCACAGAGAGCATCGGACGCGGCAACCACCGGCGCCACTACCCACAAGTGGCAACGGGACAAGGAGCCTTCCCACCGGCTTTTTGACAAAACGGAGGGTGCGAGATGATTGAGCACAAGATCCACGGGATTACGTCCAGAGATATAAACATTAGGGTTAACATGCACGAATGATTGCAGTACTAATACAAGGCCCGAGTCAACCACCGAGCTCTACTATTGCCTAGACCCTGCTGAAGCTTGCACCGCAAGGCCAGCAATCTGGCCGGCCGATCAAAAAAGCGTGACACAGTTACTTTATCTGGGAATGCCTGGAGCCAAAGTCTCTGTATTTTTTTCTTCTTCATTTGACCAAGAACAGAAAAGAAAGAAGGAATTTACTTATCTCCTGAAAGAATTGCAAAATTTACTCCGGGGAGGACAAGGATTTTCGTCAGGGGAGAAAAAAAATCATGTAAAAGAGATAATTACATGTAAAGAATGACCAAAAAGAATGTTAATGAAGGTCTTGTACCGGCCGACGCCTGTTGTTCACAGGTCTCTCCGGCTCCTCCAGCTAGCCTGGCTCAGCTCGTCGCTGCACTCCCGGCTGCCGAACTCTCTCAGCTGGAACAGCCTGATCTCCTCGGTTCGCGGCTCCAAGAACACCTCGCTGCGCCCGGGTTGAAGGCCGTTGTTTAGGTTAGAGTCGGCTAAACTATCCAGTGCCCTAACCACCTGAGATAGCAAAGGAAAATACGTGGGCATATCTTAGTCATGTGCTGTCATTTTTTCATTCATTCAAGAACGAGGTAAAATTAATGAAACGTGGTTTATTATTTAGTACCTGCCCCATCCGTGGTCTCATCACCGCAGAATGACGAATGCATGCAGCCGCAGCTCCTATCATATGATACATCTCATTTTCTTCAAACTTGTTTTCCATTCTCGGATCAGGAAGGTCTCCAAAGTCTCGATGCTCAATTGCTTGCAAGAGAAAGGGCCGGGCCTGAAAATTTTCAGCAAGAGCAGAGTTTGAGTTTACATTATGCATCCATCTATCAATCATGATGAAAATTGAAGAAATACATTTAGAGCAATGAGGTGTCATCTGTGTAATGCATTCATCAGTTCCATTTATGCTTATGTTTGCTATTTAGGATAATCGGTCCCTGTTTTCTCAAGTTCTCATCTACTCCAGCTTCTTTCATGACTCACCACAGCATGACGAATGCATTAAATAACACTGTATCCACTTTCTGCGTGCCACTCTGGAAGAATAATCAGGTTGCCCACTTTCTATAAAAGCAAGCTCCAATAGTTGGAACTTTTCAGCTCACTTAGTTCTCTCCAGATCACTTTCTCGGTCAACATGCTATGGAAACGGGTCCAGTGGAAGGGGCCAACATAATAAAACAGCTAGCATCAGCCACCTTGTAACCTTGTAATAAAAGAGCCCAACGGTTCAACTTTGGAGGGAAAGAGGTGATCTAGAGAAGGCACCGCTAGATGCTGCATGATATCAGGCTCTAGAATTTGGAAATCACCTCAACAGCTATATTGATCAACAACAATTATCTAGTACTCCCTCTGTTCCAAAATAGATGACTCAACTTTGTATTACAAAGTTGAGTCATCTATTTTGGAACAGAGGGAGTACTATGGACAGGAAATCAACCAAATCTTGAAGCATCTAAGTAACATAGCCAAACTTCAACGAAATTTTCCCCTCTTAATTAATGAATGAGGCAAGTCTTTTGCCTCCTTTCAAAAAAAAAGTAACATAGCCAGATAATACGATAGGTCAATTCTTAATTAAAAGTGAAAAAAGATGTTACTTATATCAATCAAATAAATATTTTACAAACGTGAAAAAAGAGCATAGTTTATGACCTAAAGCGAGGAGCATGCAACAAGTACAGAATATTTTAAGAAACTCACCCATTCGACAAGACTCTCATCTCCAAGCGGCTGAGAAGAATCAACAGGTTTTCTTCCCGTAATAAGTTCCAAAAGAACAACTCCAAAAGAATATAGATCAGATTTTGCTGTCAACTTCCCGGACAATGCATACTCTGGAGCCAAATACCTGCAGAGGACATACTACATTTATACTGGAAACTATCTATAGATCACAGATTATCGGGAAAAAATAATAATTGAAGATTGCAATGGCTATCTTTGGACGATTACTCACCCAAACGTTCCCATGACACGTGTTGTGACATGTGTGTTGGAGTCGGCCGCTAACCTTGCAAGTCCAAAATCGGAAACCTGGAGATTGTTGGAGGTACATAGAAATTTTTAGAAAATAAATACAATGGAAAAATCACATACTAGAAACAATTGGAAACTGGAACTAATACACCAAGTAAAAGCATACCTGAGCTTCATAGTTGTTATCCAACAAAATATTAGATGATTTAATATCTCTATGAATAATCCGTGGATGACCTGATGAATACAAACAGAGCAATGCTTAGTACACCACACTAGTTCAGGGGATTAATGAGGAGACAATTTAGTCATAAAATATTACAATCTTCGTGCAGGTAAGCAATTCCACGAGCTGCTCCGGCCGCAATCTTGACCCTCGTACGCCAATCAAGTGGTACTTCATTTACTGAAATTCCATGAGCATGGTTAATGAGCAGGCAACAGATGAGCAATGTAGCTGCCTCACTAAAGCTAAAATTGATGCAAATAAAGGAACCACTATGATCGACAGGGAGTTCTCACCATGGAGATGGTAATAAAGTGTGTTATTGGGAACAAAATCATATACAAGCATCCGCTGGCCCTCTGATACGCAATAGCCTACTAGTGAAACCAAATGTCTATGATGTACTCTGCTGATAGTATCAACTTCGGCCCTGAATTCACGCTCTCCCTGCCCATTCCCAATCTTCAGCTTCTTGATAGCCACAGGGCGACCATCTGGCAAGATGCCCTTGTACACACACCCAAATCCACCTTCTCCCAAGAGGTTCTCATCCGAAAAGTCATTTGAGATTCCTGCCAAATTCTCCGGCGTGAACAGCATCCTCGAGTACCCTATCCCGGAGTCTGCCGGCGAGTAGGGGAACCCATGGCTCCCAGTACTGGACCTCATGAAGGGATAGCCCGGTGATCGTAAGTAGAATCCATCTGGCCAACACAAATACTGTAATGAGCATCGTCTAGTATGGCTAAATTTAGAAAATGCAGATATAGAGATACGTTTAACACTCAGGCGTTCATGTTTTGTAGTACCTGATGCTAGTGAGGATCCAGCAGACGAGGGAATGTAATTGGGTGGTGGCGGCGGGGGAGCTGGTTGCTGCTGTATCGGCAGTGCTGAGGGAGGCTCTGCCCGCCGTCGCTTCTTTTTGACAAGCCAAATGGTGGCACCGATGAAGCTGAGCATTGCAAGACCGGCAATTGCTACAATGGTGGTGGCAGTTTCCCTCGATATTTCGATGTTCTTGCCGCTGCCATTTGAGCGGGTCGAGTTTGAGTGTGGCCTCCCAGGCGAGCGCGGCGGGGCATAATGTGGCTTGGTATGATGCCGCGGCGGCGGCGGGGGAGATGCAATTCTTGGCGGGGGAGGCGAATAGGCCGCAACCGGCGTGGGTGCTGGAGCTGGAGCTGGCGTAGGCGATGGCGATGGTGGGTGGGATGGAGGCGGGGCTGGTGGCGAGAGGACTACTGGCGGCGGCGGGGGGAGGGACGGAGGTGGCGGTGACGGGTACACGCGGGGCTGTACGCGTGGCTGGTCAGCCGCCATCGGCGGCGGTGGCGCCTGAACCTCGGCGGGAGGCGGCGAGGGCGATGGGGACGGCGGTGGAAGCGACGGAGGGGGCGCGTCGGGCGGCGGAGGCGACAATGCCGGCGGTGGCGGCGACGAAGGCAATGCTGGAGGAGGTGACGGCAGTGTCTCGGGTGGCGGGGAGGCCGGAGGGGGGCTACTTACCGGCGGAGGTGACGCCGCGGGGGGCAAAGAATGGTAGGACGTGGAAACCGGCGGAGCCGAGGCGGAGGAGGAGTACGGACAGCCCGGCGGGCGCGGCGCGGGCTGCGGCTGCGGCTGCCCATGCCCGCCCTGCGGCACGGCGTACGACGACGACGACGCCGGCTGCGGAGGCATGAAGGGATCCGCGTAGCCGCCCATCCCCACCACCACCGCCGCCCTCCGGAGGTACCTCCACAGCAGCGAAGCGTGGGCGCGCGCTGGCAGTGGCAGGTAGGGGATCTGCAGGTCCACGCCGACGGCCAGATCTCCCGCCCGGCTCGGCCCCAATCAAGCAGCTGAGCGAACCACCGCTTCAATGGAAGGAAGCTGCCACCCACCCTGGCCTGCTATCTCTCTCTCTCTCTCCCGACAGCGACGTAGAGAGAGCGCGGCTTGAGATCCGAATCCTCCCGCCCACGCAAGTGGCGGCGCGCGCACAGCAGATCACGCACGGCAGAGAATCCAGCGGCCACAGAGCTCGGGCCGTCGGGCGGCGACGCCGAGATCCGCGGGCGGCGGGCGGGAAGGCGATCCCTTGTCGGCCAATGCAATGCAGCAGAGCACCGCACCGCACCGCACCGCTCGCCTCTCTCTCACCTCAGCTGAGCTCACCTCACCTCAGCAGCACGCCGAGCTCATCTCTTTCTGGCTCCTCCCTCCCGTCCCTGCCTGCCTGCCTGCCTTGGTGTCCGTGGCTGCCTGGCTGGACAGTAGAGCATCACTAGTAGTGGTACTAGTATAATTTTCTCCCTCTATTTTCCCTTCCTTCTTTTCTCAAAACAAAGTCTATACTAATATTGTTTTCTTCCTCGGGTGTGCGCGACGGGGGAGGGGAGGGGAGGGGGTTGGTGCCAGGTCCATATGGGAAATAGCTGGACTGCGAAGAGCAAGCAGTACTAGCAGTACAGTGCGGCAGCATAGGGAGCTGAGTCGGGCGAAAAAAGAAGGCTGGAAAATTGGGTATTTCCCGTGCAGATTGTCGCTTGCGGGCCCGGCCTCGACCCGCCCCTCCCCTCACCTCACCGCGGGTGGTGGAAACCGGGAAGAAACCACGGAAGGAAGGGCGGCTGGCCGCGACGAGGCGCAGCACGCTCGGCCGGCCGGGCGGAACGACGAGGCAAGTTGTGGTTTGTTTTTCTGGCTCGCGGCGAGCGTATGGTTCATCCTGCGGCGTGCAGCAACGGGGGGCTGGAGAGCGGATAGTTTACCGTGTACTACGATGCTGAGGGCAACGCTGACGGCTGGCTGGCTGGATGGCTGGATGCCTCTGTCCTGGGTGGAGAGCTATTTTTTGGTGCCTACTAGTAGTAGCAGTGTGGTTTGAGGTGGGACGGGGCTTTCAAGGTTTCGGATTTCGGGTGACTTTTTGTTGCCCACGTTTTGCCATTTGTTGACCTTGGCTGGAAAAACAAACACTGCTACGCGGTTTTTATCAGGCGAGGAGATGTGACGGCGGTACGAGTTTTCGTGGCTCGTCCGTTTCGATCATGCCACATCTTGTCGCAGTGGCAGTACGCAGCCGTGAAGATTAAGAGCATTTTCAGCCGCGCCCACAACAAGGCCCCCCAGACGACTTTTCGGCCGCCGGCGTCAAAAAATCGGCCCAGTCGTGTCCCCAGGGGCCCATTTTTCGCCGGATCAGCCCGAAATTGGCGTCGGCGGACCCAACCCGAACCCGGCGCGCTGGGGATCGCTCGGGGGCGCCGGGCGAATCTTTTATGGCGCGAAAGCGCCGTGGGCCAACCGCGTCAGCGACTCGACTCCCTTCTCGCCGCTTCGTCGTCCTCATCGCCTCGTTTCCCACGGCGAATCAATGCCAAAGCTGCGCGCGCTGCCGCGCCGGTAAGCCTCCATTGATGCCTCACGGGCGGCGCAGTGAAGTCCGGGCGACGCGCGTCCCCTCGGCCGCCACGCCTCCCGCCACGCGTAACGCGCCGGCCAAGCCTACCGCGCGGCGCTTCCGCCTATATAAGCCGAGAACCAGCGCGCCGGAGATACGCACACACACTACACCGCCGACGCGTCTACTTCTCCCTCTTCCTCCTCTCGTCGTCTCCAGCTCAGAAGGATGGTCGAGCGCTTCCCAGGCGACAGTGCGGCGGCAAATGGTTTCGGGCGCCGCCATCTGCACGAGGACGAGGCTCGCCTCCTCTTCGAGACTGAGTACCCGGCCCCGTCGGACATGCGGGTGCCCGGGTCATGGAGGATCAGCGCCGACGGCGTGCCGGTGCCACCACCACCCACCGGGGCGGCGCGGCGTGCGGAGATCGCACGCATCCGCGCGTCCCTGCCTCGGGCGGCGAGGGAAGGCCCGCGGTACACCCCCGACAGCCCGCTCTGGGAGCCCTATTTCCGCCGCCGACACGCCGAGCAGTTCGAGGCGACGAACGGCATCGTGCCCTCCGGCAGGCTCAACTCCGAGGGCCGGCGCCGGTGGTGGGGCGTACCCGGCCGCACGTTGGAGGCCGTCCTTGAGTACATCGAGGGCGGCAACACGCCGCGCCTCGAGTACCCCGCTCCCCCGGCCTTCTCACGCCGTCGTGGGAGCTCCTGGACGCCCAGGCGTATGGAGCGGCCCGGCGCGTCCTCCTCCTCGTCCGGCCGCTCATCGGGCTCTCCCTGCCTCCGCCCTGTCAAGCCGGAGCCCCAGGACACGTCGGTCAGCGCGCGCACCCGCAGCTCCGGCGTCCGCATCGGTGACTCCACCCCCCCATCCAGCCGCTTCGTCCTCTTCGAACCCAAGCCGGAGCCCAGCCTCCCCGCGGAGTACGAGAAGATAGCCCGGCGCGGCTTCTCCGACGATGACGCCCTGCAGTGGGCGCGGGACGACTACCTCCGCGATGAGATGGTCCGGCAACGCCGGGCCCTGGAGGATATCAAAGCCCGCAAGCGCGGGCGCGAGGACGAGCACTGCGTCGTCATCCTCGACAACAATGACGACGAGGGCGGGGGAGGGATGCAGCAGGGACGGCGGCGGCAGAGGCGGCGACGCCGCCGCCGCCACCGATGACAGCGGCGACTACACGTGGTTCTACAGCCTCCTCGGCATGTAGAACTGCGAGGGCGGGCGGCGGGCGGCGGGGAGCTGCGAGGCAGACGGCGAGGAGTGGCGATGGAGATGGCGAGTGGCGGCCCCTAGCAGTTTTTTCTTTTTTTGTAAAATATGTTTAAGTTTGGACGAACTCACCGAAGTTTGCAATGAATTTGCGCCGTGTTTGTGCCATGTTCAAATTTTTCAAAATAACGTGGGCGCCGCGACTGGGGGGCATCACGCCCCCAGCGCGCGGGTTAGCGCCGGTGCACCCCCAGGGGGCGATTTTTAGCCCCTCCTGAGGTGCCAACGGCTGGAGATGCTCTAAGGGCATGCTTGTTACCTGCATTTCACTCAATCAGGCTCACGGGGTGTAATTTTGGGCCATCAAGTTGCCTAGTCTGCATCAATTTTCTGTCTCGTACGATCTCAGAGCAGTTTTGTGCGGTTTTTTCTCAGAGCCAGGCCCTAGTGTAGGACCTTGAAGTATGTCTAGAGGGGGGTGATTAGACTACTTGACCAAATAAAAATTAAGCCTTTTCCCAATTTTAGTCTTTGGTAGATTTTAGCAAACTTAGCACAAGTCAAGCAATCTTCACACAATTCAAGCAAGCATGCAAAGAGTATATGAGCAGCGGAAATTGAAGCATGCAACTTGCAAGAATGTAAAGGGAACGGTTTGGAGAATTCAAACGCAATTGGAGACACGGATGTTTTTGTCGTGGTTCCGATAGATGGTGCTATCGTACATCCACGTTGATGGAGACTTCAACCCACGAAGGGTAACGGTTGCGCGAGTCCACGGAGGGCTCCACCCAAGATGGGTCCATGAAAAAGCAACCTTGTCTATCCCACCATGGCCGTCGCCCATGAAGGATTTGCCTCACTAGCGGTAGATCTTCACGAAGTAGGCGATCTCCTTGACCTTACAAACTCCTTGGTTCAACTCCACAATCTTGTCGGAGGCTCCCAAGTGACACCTAGCCAATCTAGGAGACACCACTCTCCAAGAAGTAACCAATGGTGCGTTGATGATGAACTCCTTGCTCTTGTGCTTCAAATGATAGTCTCCCCAACACTCAACTCTCTCTCATAGGATCTGGATCTGGTGGAAAGAAGATTTGAGTGGAAAGCAACTTGGGGAAGGCTAGAGATCAAGATTCATATGGTAGGAATGGAATATCTTGGCCTCAACACATGAGTAGGTGGTTCTATCTCAGAAATGGTAAGTTGGAAGTGTAGGTTTGTTCTGATGGCTCTCTCCACGAATGAAGAGGAGTTGGAGGGGTATATATAGCCTCCACACAAAATCTAACCATTACACACAATTTACCAATCTCGGTGGGACCGGATCAACAAACTCGGTCGGACCGATTTAGTAAACCTAGTGACTGTTAGTGATTTCGGTGGGACCGACATGCAACTCGGTAGGACCGATATGGTTAGGGTTTGGGCATAACGTAATCTCGGTAAGACCGATTACAAAAACTCGGTGAGACTGATTTTGGTAATTAGCTAACCAGAGAGTTGGTCAGGTAAACTCGGTGGGACCGATTCACTCATTTCGGTGAGACCGAAATGTTACAAAAAGGAAACAGAGAGTTTATATTACAATCTCGGTGGGACCGATCGCTCACTTCGGTTAGACCGAAACGTTACGAAGGGAAACAGAGAGATTACAATCCCATCTCGGTGAGACCGAGATCCCTATCGATGAGACCGATTTGCCTAGGGTTTGTGGCAGTGGCTATGACATCTGAACTCGGTGGCGCCGGATAGAATGAATTGGTGGGGCTGAGTTTGACTTTGGGTTTAGGTCATATGTGGATATGAGAAAGTAGTTGAGGGTTTTTGGAGCATATCACTAAGCACTTGAAGCAAGAAAATCATCAAGCAACACCTCATCCCTCCTTGATAGTATTGGCTTTTCCTATAGACTCAATGTGATCTTGGATCACTAAAATATAAAATGTAGAGTCTTGAGCTTTTGAGCTTGAGCCAATCCTTTTCTCCTTAATATTTTGAGGGATCCACTTTCATCATCCATGCCATGCCATTCATTGAGCTTTCCTGAAATATTTGTCTTGGAATAGTATTAGCTCAATGAGCTATATGTTGTTATGAATTA